AACACCGCCCACCACGACCTGAAGTCGTCCACGTCGTGCGCCTGAAGCCTTACTACGCTCGATAGGACTGTGGATCTTATGTGTTTCAAATGACTCTTTAGTTTGCCGTTCTCTTTATGTGCTTTGTTTTGTGTTGCATCGAGGCGATGCACTTTTTGAGGGGGGGAGTAATGCCGCGCGCCAAGTAGGCACCGCGGCCGTAGCACAACGGTTATCGCGCTTACCTCCCACGCGAAGGGCCAGGGTTCGATTCCGGGCCGCGGCTACGCATTTTTGTTTACACTGTAATGTGATGTTCTAGTGAATTCGAGAACCGTCTAGCTGATTCGAGGTTAGAATGTTCTCCGCGTCGAACCTTCTACGCCGAACGATCCAGAAACCCACGAGGGTACTATCGGGGAAAAATGAAATGCGAACAGAGGAGCGCGTGGCTCGCGGTACAGGCTGCGCCGCCTGGAAGTGAGCCTAGGAGCGAGGGTGCGTGGCCTACTCCGACGTGTTCACGCCCCTCCCTCTGCGCTCCCTAAGCTTCAGCAGTGCGCCTCTTAGTGCGCTGAAAGCTATCACCGCTATCTTTGCTGGCCCAGAGCGTGCGGTGCAAAGAAGCTCGCCGCACTCGCCGAGCAGGCGAAGATAGCGGTGACAGCTTTCAGCGCACTGAGAGGCGCAGTGCCGAAGCTGGGGGACCGCCAATCGAGGGGTGTGAACACATCGAAGTAGGCCACGCACCCTCGCCCTAGGTTCACTTCCAGGCGGCGCAGCCTGTACCGCGAGCCACTCGCTCCTCTGTTCGCATTTCATTTTTCCCCGATAGTACATAAGGGATTCCGCAAGGCGAGCGGAGTCAGTCTCGCCCCAGCGTTCGACTCTGCTGTCACGCCGACTTCGACGCCCGCGACGCTCTATTATTATCTTTTGTACTCTTTTATTTTTGGCACAAGTTCGCCAGATTAAACGTTTATTTCTTCTTGTTTATTTGTTATTTTTGGTCACTACCCGTGACAATATATAATGACGCCAGCCATTTTTATGGCAATTTTTCTTCTATTAGGCCGTACGTGAGTCTTTTGAGAAAATAACAAAAACGGAAAAGAAGAATAAAAAGAGAGAGAGAGACAGACAATATGAAATGATACGGAAAGTTTGGTAGCTGTTGATATGGTACGAGCTACGCCACTTGTTGCAAGTCTGAAGCCATCAATAAATTCGTGTTCTGCAGGTATAGAACCAACGCAAAAACGGAGACAAGATAAAGAAACCGACAAACTCGGAGCGATTCTGAGAAATAACTGAATAAGTTAAATAGTTCAATAGTAGTTTATTACGCTTGTTGCGGTAGTGACTCCAGGCTCGCATGTGGTGAGCAAAGGCGGGGGCCCATGACCGCTGTATTTATTTTCTTATTACCTACTTGGAGGCAGGATATAATATTGCCGCGGGAACGACCCAGAAGGGACGCTTCTCCGTACATCTAGATTCTAGAAGATTGTTGTTTACTCTTACCCAGAGTGTAAAAGACAAGAAGGCCAGAATGATCTTGCCTAGTTAAGCGCGAAACACATGTACGACGAAACCGTCCGATCCGACGTTCGACCGCGCAATACGACGGTCGGAGGCGAGGGTTTTCAACGCTCTCCGATGCTACGAAAACCCTCGCCTCCGACCGTCGTATTGCGCGGTCGGACGTCGGATCGGACAGTTTCGTCGTACATGTGTTTCGCGCTTTAGTCTCGCACTAGGTCAGTCCCGAACATTCTAGGTTGAATATCCGAGATACCAAGTGTAGATAGATAAGGAGCCTTGCGCAACCTTGATGACTCACTCAGACTCTCCCGACGAAGACGCACTCTACCCCCAAACGCTCGACTCTGCGTTTCCACTGACTACGGCACCCGTGACGCTCTGAAATTATCTTCATTTACCCTTTTTGCTTGTTCGTATATTTTTGGCACAAGTTCGCCCCGTTAAACGTTCATTTCAGCTCATTATTCATCGCCTCTTCGCCTTCACCGGTGACATTACATGCAAGAGGGAGCCGCAATTTCTGGGAGCACTTGGACGAATCGCTAGACACGGGGAAACAAATTAGGTTTACACATGTGCACACACGAGAAACCGGAAATTGAATATTTTGCTGTTAAATATGTCGGACTACGGGCGACAATACATCATTATGTGTTATTTATTCAAAGGGGGAATTTTCGAGCGTACCAAAGATATTAAATACATACTGTTCCTCTATATTGTAATTTCCTGTGTAAATAATGACTTACATATTTAATAACTGTTTCATTAACTTTAGTTGGTTTCAAGTTGCTGGTACTTGTATATTCCCAAAAAACAAACCTTTCCTCGTTATTATATACTGAAGTTCGTTGAGAGATAAAATGTTTTAACGAGTGGCATACTCTAATGAACTCGCTTCCAAAATCGAATTGCTGTCGTCAGACTGATGCACTTTGAACCTGACTAAGTTCACGTTCCTGTATTGGTGAACCTAATCTAACTAATAAATCAAAGCAGATCTAAAAAGCTTAGCGCGAAAAAGAAGGGGATGTATAATTGACGAGCATCTTTCCACGTGGTTACGTGGTCTAAAACAACAACAGTGTGGTATATTCGCCATGATCACATTACGCAACTTTTATGGATGCGTTAACGAGAAAATTGGAACCTAATCGCTTCGATGTCTTTCAAACAATAATCTATCAAACTTTATTAACAAAAAATATCTAGAAGCATTAACCGCGTTCCCTTTTACCTGCAGGAAGGGTTGAATAGTATAAAGACGGGGCCGAGAACGAAGGAAGTAAAATTTATATAAAGATGACTTTCTTCATATAAATATTACCGAAAAATTTACAGAGCGGATCAATACTGCTATCACTTTAACGGTAACAAAAATTCCTGCCCACGCGAACAACGAGAGCCTTGGTAAATATCGATCCGAATCGAGTGCGAAGCGAAGGTGGGCGAAAAGTGGCAAAACATGGAACAATTACGTGGGGGAAGACAACTTTCCTTCTTACATGTAAGCGGTGAAGATGGCCCCCTCTCCAGATAACTTTATTAGGCCCAACAATTCATCGCCCAAATAAAGTGTTCGAAGCACACACCTCTCATGGATCGATTGAGGCGTCCGATAATTTCCCCAACACCGAAACTACATTATGATGACGCGACTACATGGCTCTTTCTAGGGCAACCAGACGTCCCGTTTCGGCCCAGACAGTCCGATTTTAGAGGTTCATTCCTGCCGTCCGGTCTTTTTGGTCTAAAGGAGACTCATGTCCCATTTTCGTGGAAACATTCAAAGTAGTTGCGAAATCAGTGCAACACGAATGGAAGAAACCCGAACGAATGTATACTTGTTACAGACGTAATGTTTTAAAAATAAACATACTATAGTACAGTTACATCTGCTAATACATTTCGTGTGTGCGAGAGACTTTTCTATATTACTGAATAAGACGTACTTTCGTTGGAAATACTTCTTTTTATCATTAAAAAACGGGGAAAAACACCTGTGTTCTTAGGCAAGAACTTTAGAAAAATGTGGGTGTTTACGTTTATGTGAAGCTCTGCATTTTACAAAATACGTCCAATGTCCCGTTAATGTCCGTGAGTAATATTGTTTCATATATTTTTTTTTTTCATGATAAGTGCTGCAACTAGGTGCTCGGGCACAGTTATAAGGCAATTTCGTCTTCTTTTGCCCTAGCCACTCTTACTTTTTTTTTTATCTGAAATAAAGGATTCGTTTATTCATAAAATCCCAATCCGAAATAATTTATCCCAGCCCAAAATTTATTTCCTTGCCTCTCCATTATTGCCAATAAAACTGGCCTAGTCTCCAAAGAGCGGGCGAGGCAACGGTTAGTGCGGCACATCAGATGTACGCCTGTTTTCTTAGGTGGTAGTATTATTGCAAGGTCTGTGTTTCCCTCTCGAAGTGAACACTGATTAGACATTTTTTATTGCCCCCCCCCCCCCTCTCCCATGCTTTTCGAACCGCGAGCTTTCCTACACTTGTGATTTCTTCGGACTGGTGGGGCTCAAAATCGGGTTTTAAGCCTTCTGTGAGGGCATACGACCGGCTGCGCGGCTGCGGTGTCGTGAGTCATCACAAGAGGCTTAAAAAACGGTCGAGTCGAAGTAGGTCGTGGTCAAACGCGCGTGTGTGAACGGCCGGCCCTTTAAGGCTAGCCCACATGGCGCGTTTTTCCAGGCGTTCAGACGCGCGTCTCGGCTTGGCGCGCGCGCTAAGCCAGTTGCTAAGCCCAGTCAAACCACACGCAGCGCTACCGCAGTGATGTTCCATACCATGTCCAAGAATTCCCTTTCTTAGGCAAAAAAAGTCCCTTTTCGAGGTACTTTTTTCCAGCAAAATTTTTAAATATCCCCGCATATTTCCCTGTATTTGATGCCTTTATTTTCGCATCAGCTGATTTCTGTGGTCATGCAGGCCACTATGCGCGCATTTTACCATAAAAGCTGCGTGAAATCGCATGTTTAAAGAGAAGAAAAAGTTACTGCGCTGCCGAGAAACCCAGTATAACTTTTCGCTATGTGGGTTACGGATCTGGGATTTCAGGTTTCCAGAAACAATTCCAGTTAGATTTCCAGTTTTGAGAGAAAATTTATACTGGCTTTTTGGTAAGGTGGTCAGTTTATACATTTATTAACTAAATAATATAACATTTAGCAGTGTCACAGGCTCGTCCGGGGTTGGTAAGAAAAGGGTCGGGAGACAGAGAGTTAGAAAAAAAAACAGGGCATATATTTGCACACACAAAAGAAATATCAGTATGGAAGAAAAAAAATGTAAAAAGACTACAAGTAAAGTCACAAGAAAGAAATAAGCAGTCCGAACTACGGGGCTATCGTCCTAGAGATTCACCGGCATATGTCGTGACGAGGCTCGGTTCCTGGCTTCTGTAGCCGCTCAGTCCAGGGACGGTGTTGAGATGGCGTGGATGCTCATGCCTCCGCTGTTCCCTTCACACCGTGCGTAGCGGCGGGTTCTGGTTCGGGTCGTTGATACCGGGACACAGCCGGTCAGATCCTTCAAGCAGCTGCCGAAAGTCGCGGCTCGTGCTCTTTTTCGCACCTTTTTCGCACCCGTCACTTCGTCGTTCACGTTCTTCCTTCCACACAACCATGACACCCCCCAACTTGAAGAAGTTTATAACATAAACTTTTCTTTCTTGATGCCTGGTACTTCCGAGGACTCCATCCTGACGCCACCGAGCACAAGCCACCCCCACAATCCTCCTACACGACACTTTCACGACACGACCTTCTCGATGACCTTGAAACGACGTCCGGTTGCACCGCACCACACTTGGCCGGAGGGCCCTCTTCATCCACATTCAAATCGAGGATTTCTTTTGTGAGAACTCACTGTAGCCACACACATATGCAAAGGCACCGTCTTAAGTCTGACAAAAGACATTGACACACATACAACACAAAAAGATATATACATTGAGGGAACCCAACCTCTTCGGGGTCTCGACTAGTTATCCCTAACAAAAATCTTAGTTTAAAAGAAAAATAACCGTCTAAATGCGGCTAAGGAAGTCTGCTCCCACGTTATCCCTGCCCTTTATGTATTACACGTGAAAGCTATGATCTTGCAAAGCCATACTCCACCTCATCACTCGCCTATTTGTATGCTTAGCTTTGTTTAGGAATTCCAGTGGTTGGTGGTCGGTCTGAACTCGAAAAGTTGTGCCGTACAGAAGCAACCTAAATCTGGCAACGGCCCATACCAATCCCAGACATTCCTTTTCTATCGTTGCGTAGTTCCTTTCTGCGGTGCTGAGCTTTCTACTCGCGTACGCCACGGGATGTAGCATTCCATCCTTTTCTTGAAGCATCACTGCACCCAGACTCGCGTCAGACGCGTCTGTCCTTAGCACGAACTCCTTCTCGGGGTCTGGCGCCAACAAGATGGGAGGACGTCCCAGCTTGGTCTTTAGTTCATTGAAGGCCTCCTCTTGCTCCGGCCCCCACTCAACCTCATTGCGGGCTCCTTTTCTGGTGAGATCTACTAACGGCGCGGCAAGACCCGCATAGCCCTCTACGAACTCGCGGTAGAACCCCGTGAGTCCAAGGAACGATCTTACTTGTCGCTTCGTTCGCGGTCTTGGTACGTCTTGAATCCGTTCAATGATCTTAGGGTCCGGTGATATCCTTCCCATTCCAATCTCGTGTCCCAGAAAGCTGATCTCCTTTAAGCCCACTTCACATTTCTTTGGCTTTACAGTAATATTAGCCTCGCGCAGGCGCCAAAAAATGCAGCGAAGCGTATCAACGTGCTCTCTCCACGAGCTTGTGGCGATCAGGATGTCGTCGATGTAGTGGTGTGCATCTGGGATGCCGTCTAACAATTTTCGCATCAGTTTCGTGAATGTCGCAGAAGCCGTTCTTAAACCAAAGGGCATGACCTTGAATTGGTAAAGCCCACTCGTCGAAGAGAAGGCAGTCTTTTCCTTGGCCTCTTCTTTCATAGGTATCTGCCAGTACCCTTTTGCTACATCGAGCTTCGAGAAGAAGCGCTTCTGTCCCGCCTTAGCAAACGTGACGTCGATCCGTGGTATTGGTTCCGCATCGGGCTTGGTCACGTCATTGAGCCTCCTGTAGTCAATGCAAAACCTGTTTGATCCGTCTTTTTTCTTTACCATTACCACTGGCGCGTTGTACGATGAGGTGCATCTCTCAATCACGTCCAGCTCCAACATCTCGTCGATTTCTTGCTCGACTGTTTCCTGAACCGACAGCGGCAGTGGGTACTGCTTCACATGTATTGGTCGGGACGTGGTCAGTTGAAGGTCACAGGTCAGCAGACTCGTCCTGCCTGGAAGGTTCGAAAATATATCTTTGAAGTCCTCAATCAGCTCTCGTACCTCATCACGCTTTTGGGATTCCAAGTGTTCGTTTATGTTGACGTCTTCCCATCCTTGCTGCCTCGTCCAGCTTGGCGTAGGAATCCCCTCTGTATCTTCAATACTTAGCTCGGTTGCGACTTCATCTTTCTCTTGAGAATCCATTACCATACCGCAATGTTGTCTACCTTGTTGACTTCCTTCTTTTTCTTCATATCTTTTAAGCATATTGATGTGAAACACCTTTTTCTTGCCTCCTACGTCTAACTCGTAATCCACATCATTCTTTCTTGCGACTACGGGGAAGGGACCTTTCCATTGCATGATCATCTTGTTCAGATCGGTGGGGAGCAGAATGAGCGCCAGGTCTCCTTGCTTCATATGTCGGTTGCAGCTCTTCCTGTCATAGTATTTCTTATACTTCTCCCTTGCTTCATGCAGGCATACGTGCGCCAGCTTGCATGTTTCCTCTAGTTTTTCCCTTAGTTCCAAGATGTATCCATATGTCGTCTTCATGTCTTCCTTCAGGGCTTCGTTCGACCACAACTCCTTGAGGATGGCCAGTGGTCCTCGTACTCTTCTCCCGTATAGCAGTTCAAATGGCGAGAACCTGAGGCTAGCCTGGGGCACCTCTCTGTAGGCGAAAAGCAAAGCTGGGAGATATCTATCCCAATCCTTTGGTCTTTCTTTGCACATCCTCCTTAGCATCTGCTTGATGGTGCCATTAAACCTCTCGACCAGGCCGTTGCTGATGGGATGATAGGGAGTGGTTAAGAGTTGCTTCATCGATAGAAGCCGGCTCACCTCTCTCATTAGCTCAGAGGTAAAGTTGGTGCCGCGATCGCTAAGGATCTCTGCCGGTACTCCATACCGCGTGAACATCTGAACCAACGCCTCGGCTACCTGCTGGGACCCAATGCTCTTCAACGCTACTGCGTCAGGATACCTCGTGGCCATGTCAACCATTGTAAGAATATACCTATTCCCCGAGCTTGCGATAGGCACTATAGGACCGATGATATCTATCGCGACTCTTTGAAAAGGTGTCTCGATGATTGGCATGCTTCCTAAGGGGGCCTTGCCCACCTTGCCTTTGGGTACGGTGCGTTGGCACACGTCACACGAACGAACGTACCTTTTGATTTCGCTTTGCATGCATGGCCAAAAAAATTCTTCTGCCACCAGATTGAGGGTGTTCTTCGCCCCCTGGTGTCCGGACATAACGCTGTCATGTGCCATAGTTACAGCAGCGGCCCTGAACCTTTTTGGGAGAACCAGTTGTTCTGATCTTCTGCCGGATGAGTATAGGACGCTCCTGTATAGAAGGTCGTTCTTCAGCAAAAACTGAATCCTTGTCCTGGAATTGTGTTTCTTCGTTGTCTTTCCTACATCGTTGAAACACTTCGTAAGAGTAGCGTCCTCTTTCTGCTGCTTTCCGAGTTCCTCGGCTGTTGTGTCGGTTACTGACACCTGCGCGACTTTCAGAGGGCGTTCTAGTTTTCCTATTGGGCTTCCAGCTTCTCTCCCCTCGCTCGCGGACGCAGCTACGGCTGGTTTCTCATCTGGGAGCTCGTCGATGCTCTTGGTTGCTTCCATTGCCCTGCGACAGCCCACGTTGACTCCGATGGCGTTCAAACACGTTTCGTATCTCTCCATCGGCTTGTCTAGGCAGTCGCCGAGATTGTCTTCATGGTTCTTTTCCCATTCTGGGTCAGGGTCATTAGCCTCACGCATTTGCGGTATGTTTCCCAGTATCAAGTCGTATAGGGGGTTACTGACGCACTTCGCCGTTACCTTTCCCGTGTAGTAGGGCGTTCGTATCACAATAACCGCCTCCGGCAGGTACCGAACTGTTCGATCTAATAAAAACACTAGACTCGACTTTCCAGTTAGGTTCTCTTGAGGGACTAGTTCTTTGCGAACAACCACGGTGTTGCAGCCGGTGTCCCTTAACACCGTCATCTTGTGTTCTCCCAGTCGTCCTTCCACTACCGGCATGTTCTCCGACAGAAATTTCGGGGCTCTCCCCATGACCGCATTCACTACCGGGATCTTGTCACCATTATCCAGGGTGACGTAGGAATCGTCGGCGTTTTCGCAATTATCTGTTGGCACCGTGTACAAGCACGACGCCTGATGTTTCTCGCTCTGCCTTCCCTTACAGTTCTCTGCCTTGTGACCACTACGGCCGCAATCCCAACATGTCAGTGACCTCATAGCTTGGCCGTTACTTCTGCAGTTTTCTGCCTTGTGCCCAATCTTCCCACAAAGGAAGCAGCGGATACTCTTTCGGAGACCACCCCTTGCGTGTTTATCTTCGTTTCCAGCGTCTTGCCTGTTTGTCGCCTCGTCTCGCTTTTGCTTACCCGTGCTATGCTGCACCTGGGCCTCCAAGAAGAGGTCAGCTTTAGCTGTTACATCATCCAACCTCTGACAGTCGCGCTCTCTCAGGAAGACCGTCAGCTTGCTCGAGCATGTCAACAGAAATTGTTCCACTAGGATATTGTCTCGCAGTGATTCAAACGTTTTCTCAACTCCCGCTATCTCGAGCCATCTATCAAAGTACCCTGCCAGTCGAGCAGCAAATTGTCTCATCGTTTCGCCGTCCTCGGGTTTGGCGTCGCGAAACCTCTCGCGGTATCCTTCTTTAGTGTAACGAAATCGCTGGAACAGCGCCAGCTTGACCTTGGCGTAGTCTAGAGCATCTTCAGGTGTCAGTCGGCCGACCACCGTCAGCGCCTCTCCGGTCAAACATAAGCCTAGAGTCGTGGCCCACTTCTCCACTGGCCAACCCAGCCCTGTTGCGGTACGCTCAAAGCGCTGCAAATAGGCATCTAGATCGTCCCTTCGTTCATTGAACTGTGGAATCAGTTTGTGGGGACTTCCGTGACTTCCTCGGCCTGACCCTTCCCCGCGGCCGCTTTCCGAATTTGCGGCACCTTCATCTCGCCCTTCACGAGCCGCAATCCTCAACTGCAGGACCTCTCGTTCCTTATCCAACTTAGCGCTTTCGGCCGCTAACATTCTTTGAGCAGCCTCACGGTCCTCCCTAGCGTTATCGCGCTCTTGAGCTCTCTCAGCTCTACTACGCGCTCTTTCCTCATCAACCCATTTTTTTAACTCGACCCCAGTATACCCCAATTCCTTAGCTGCCGCGATTATTCTATCGAGCTCCATAGTAATGCACCAGTCTCAAATCTCCGTCTCCTCTCTCAATGTAATGGGCCGCGCCATCCTGGCAGGCTCGCCAAATTGTCACAGGCTCGTCCGGGGTTGGTAAGAAAAGGGTCGGGAGACAGAGAGTTAGAAAAAAAAACAGGGCATATATTTGCACACACAAAAGAAATATCAGTATGGAAGAAAAAAAATGTAATAAGACTACAAGTAAAGTCACAAGAAAGAAATAAGCAGTTCGAACTACGGGGCTATCGTCCTAGAGATTCACCGGCATATGTCGTGACGAGGCTCGGTTCCTGGCTTCTGTAGCCGCTCAGTCCAGGGACGGTGTTGAGATGGCGTGGATGCTCATGCCTCCGCTGTTCCCTTCACACCGTGCGTAGCGGCGGGTTCTGGTTCGCGTCGTTGATACTGGGACACAGCCGGTCAGATCCTTCAAGCAGCTGCCGAAAGTCGCGGCTCGTGCTCTTTTTCGCACCTTTTTCGCACCCGTCACTTCGTCCTTCACGTTCTTCCTTCCACAAAACCATGACAAGCAGTGTTTGGTAAAGTACATCTAAAAAGTACTTGGTCTTTCTTTATTTTCTTTATTCATTCAGCCTAAAGGGCTGCGACACCACAGAAAGGCCATTGGCCCATACCTGAGGCCTGCAGTGCCGGAAATGAGAGGTTATGTACTTCAAGTAAAGTAGTAAGTACATCGGGTGCAATTTACTTCAGGTAAAGTACTATAAATATGATGTACTTCCAAAGTAAATTACAAGTACTTTTTATCACTTTCATGGGGGTAATCGAGGGTGCATCAGTTATTTTCCAAAATAAAGTGGCCACGGAGTAGTCATCTCACTCTCGCTGACAAACTATTTAACACCGTCAACCTATAAGGCACTTATTTGCATCGGTCTTAAAGCCGCCATTACTTCACTCAAAGAAATTACCAAAAGACATCTTGAAAAATAATAGCGTGTTTTTACATAACAATGCAATTTTCTTTTTCTCAAATTTGGAGAATGTATTGAAGTCGGAAGTTGTACTTTTGCTCGGAAACTACCGACAAAAAAATTACTTAAAATAATGTACAAGTATATATGCGGGGAATGTACTTACAGTTAATTAGAAGTAAATTTCCTAAACCTACTTCAAAATGAGTCGTTCAGACACCTTCTTCCTGCACCACAACTTTCTCTTCTTAAAACTTTTGGACCACTCGACTTTTTAGTGTGTTTAGCTCCCTCTAAAGCTTTTCCCGGATTCCCTCGTTAATCCTTAAAATTCCCTGCAAAAGTGTTAAAATTCCCATTTCCCTTTTCACCAAAATTGAGACCAGAAATTCCCTGAAAAAGGGAAAATTCCCTGCATGGAACATCACATTGCTACCGGGCAGCGCTTCGCGTCTGCGTTTCCAAAGCATCTGCCCAACGTAGCCAGACGCGCGTAAGAAACAAAAGCAAATTTTAAATAGAAATCGCGCGTTAAAGGATGGCTACATGCCGTAGTATTTAATTTTATTAATTGTAAGCACGCATTGTTATTACAGCAGTTGCGATGAAGCTCAATTTCACTCATTTTCATCATTTTTAGTACGTATACGCCTCATCCACCTTTCGGTACGCCATCGGCATCACCATCTACCTCGCCAAAACATTTTTACAGCTGGCCGCTACAGGGGTTGCTTTGTTGCGGTTGTTGCCGATAGTATTAATTTTGTACCTATGTCTCTCGGTGTCCTTGTATTCTTTACATTTCGCCTGTAAGAGTGCAGGACGCTTTTGTACTTCGCTAGCTCTTCTCGGTTCCGCTGAAGGAGCGCCAGCCACTCCCGCGGAGCAGGGAGGAGTCCCTGGAGTTGTGCAAAAGGTATGGTATAAACGATGTCCGCGGGGGGGACGTAACTATTCATGTTCGCCCTGCTGCGAGCGTTGGCGGGGCCCAAGCCGTTTTTTTATTTAAGGCCGCGGGCGTGCAAATTTTGTAAACCCTGCGCAAATGCGCGCGCGCGTGTGTGTGTGTGTGCGTGTGCGTGTGAGTGCGTGTGTGTGTCTGTGTGTGTGTGTGTGTGTGTGTGTGTGTGTGTGTGTGTGTGTGTGTGTGTGTTTGCGCGTGCTTGCGCTCTTCCTTGGAATGGCACAGGTTTGTTACCCGTTTCTGTATGTGTATCTTTCTGTTTTGAAAGTTCGTATTTATTTTCCTCTCCCGTACCCCTTTCCCCACTTGGCGGCGGGCTAGCAGGCGCACCTGCGTATCCTCGCACGCTGCCGAGTGGGTATCGCAATCTTTGCAAATAAAATTATTATAATTATTATCGCCATTGTCACGAGGTCTGTGGCGAAAACTACAGTCCTACAGTGGCGAAAACAGTGGAGAAAATTCAAGCGCTCCTTGTAACGAGTGAACACGGCCGTTCATTGGTTATTGCCTTCTGGACGCGGCGCGAGACGCGACGCCTGGACGCAAAATATCTGGCTCCTCTAGATATGCCGGAATGCGCCAAAAAAACACTGCGCTTCATCCCGGCGCCGGGAGTGACGTTAAAGCGCAGGCGCAGACGCGACGCAGACGCGGAGAAAAGCGCGCCATGTGGGCTAAGCTTTAGAAAAAACTAAAGACCTGATCCTCGGAATTCGGGAATGGTCTGCAGCTGTTCGATGAGACGTGTTTTGTTTCTTGCTTCATTTTTTTATTACGGTTAGTAGTGGTGAGCGGCCCTGCCATCGGATTGCTTGTAGTTGTACAATGTTTGTTTTGACGGTATAGAGGGAAGGCGCGGGTTGTATTTTTGTTATCATGTTATTTCTACGGTCTGTGCACGCCGCTTTGGGTTCAACGGCGCGCCAGTGGATTTGGAGAACTGGAAGCCAGCAATCGCCAGACTCTGCGACACTGGACGTCGTCCCGTGGGCACCCCGGCGGGGAGGAGGAGGGCTCAGTCTGGTCACCGAGCTACTAATCTCCGTCCGCCAACCCTGTGAGTCCTCCCCCCCCCCCCCCCCCGTATTGCCCCAGTGCACGTGCCTTCCCTTCAACCAGGGTGTCGAACCGTAACCGTAACTGTACCGTATGTTTTTCCTCAAACCAGCAGAGCAGATCCCTAACCGAAATGGTTGTCGCCACATTGGAGCTGAACCCGACCAGGTGCAAAACAAAGGAAACGTTCCGAAAACTTTCGCGACAAGTCATTTTCTTATTTTTATTTATTTTTTACTTATTTTCCAGTGTTGCAGACACCCGAAGGGGTCTAAGCAGAAGAGTTACAAGCTACAAACACAACAAAAATCGATACAACTAAGAAATGTAGAAATATGGCATCGCAAAATTACACTCTGTCGTTCACCGTGGCGCAAGTATAAGTGTACACATAACGGGGATTTCAATTATGGATGCACTTTTCGGAGCTAGTCACCACAAACGGCCGACCGTTCCGCTTGATTGATGATTTCGGGTTCCGAAAAAACATTGATCCCTTGTTGAACGGCCTCAATCATCGCCTCACTGTAAGTGCCGAAAGCGTTCGGCTGGAAATGGCAGAACAGAGGAAGATTGCTAGAAAGAAGGTTTCTGAATCTTTGAAGATTTAGCTGCTGTCACTGAAACAATTGACTGCACTACGCATTTGGAACGCTGCGTTCTCGGCGCTGAACGGGATAAACTTCGCCTGCAAACACTCGCTTGGAGGGGGCGAGGGTGACGAGTGTTGACGTTAGCGCTTCGGAACAATGGGAGCGTCGTGCGCGTCACCCTCTCCCCCTCCTTCTCCCTCTCTCCCTGTACTTGTAGCTGACAAACGAAAGAAACCGCCGGGTTTTCGTCAACCCGAGCGTTCTAAAAGCCCGTTCCACTTTTGCAACCGATTACGACCGAGAGAGACCGAGACTCGTTAAAACCTCTTAAAATTTCTTAGGACGAAAGAACACACTGGCACGCTAGTGCCATCTCTGCGGTGACCCTGGAACTGCATTTCACAAGAACGAAGGTTTTGCGGGATTTACGAGGTCAAATGTGCGTAATACCTATAAGAAAGGCTCGTTTATAACGTTGACAGAAGTTTTTCGAGACAAGAAAGAAAGGATAATGCGCGAGAGAAATAGAAAATATGCCGGACCGGCCAAGTTTACACTGCTACCCAATAGATGTCGCCAATGTGTCCTCTCGTTGTAAGAGGTTTTAAGGAACCCAGCTTTAAGAGGTCGCAAGAGTGGGAAGGGGCCTTAATGCTAACGCATTAAAACAGTCCTCGATTGCGCCACAAGGTGGATGTCAACTTTTGCTATGATGCAGCGTTGGCGGTAACCCGTTAGAAGTTACGGTGTTACGGGCAAAGCGTTTCTTTTCTCGGTAACGAGTAACGTAGTCATTACTTTTTGAAACAGTAATGTGTACCGTAGTTGCGTTACTTAATTCGAGTAGCAGGGAACGGAGTTACTTTACTCGTTCCTTGTACTTCCCAAAACCTGAAAAAAAAAAAAAGGTTACACTTCAACGCTTTTCGTGTTTCTAGACGCCAAGCCATGTGTACTTCTGAGATTTTGCTTTTTTATTTGCGTTTCTTCTTTTGAATATTTAGGAGAAACCGTAAAAGAGGTAAAATAATGATGTTTAGTTTCTGCATGAACATAAAACGTTTCGTGACATATGGCGCTTATGCATGCCTCTAACGTCAAAGCAGTAAAACGTGTTAATTCATAATTAAAGGAGTAACTCAAAAGTAACGCGCGTTACTTTTGATCGGTAATAGTAGCGCTTTCCTTTTATTTTGAAGTAACGTAGGACGGTAACGCATTAATTTTATTTGAAAGTAAAGCGCCGTTCACACTCTTGCAACCGAGTACGACCGAGAGAGACCAGACCGGTTTTTAAGCCTTTTGCGACTTCTTAGAACCGGATGCACCGCAGAGCGGAGCTGGTCCTAAGAAATCGCAAGAGGCTTAAAAACCGGTCTGGTCTTTCTCGGTCGTACTCGGTTGCAAGAGTGTGAACGGGCCTTAACGAGTAACGTGTTTTGTTATTTATTTCTTTTTGCGGTAACGCCTACAGCACTGTTATGATGCGACGACTACTAGAACTAGAGGAATTCTGTAACGATTTGCTTGCTTATAATCACAATGTCCATTTTAGCTAACACGACTGGCGGTCATGCAGTAAGCAACGTATGTAACTCCATGCAGACAGCCGAGAAAGCGACTCTGCAGCTTCAAAACGGGCAACTTACAAATGAAGACTTGTACGGATCCTGGCTGACTTGTCGAATCGAAAGCACCAACAGCGACATCCCTCTCGCGAGTCTACTTGCTGCGGCAATGAAGCGGCGAGAAAAGTCTTATCGGCAACGACGCATTCTGTGCGGCCTTCTTCTTGTACCTTCTCTACCATGTAGCCCTAACGAGCGAAGAAAAATGTCAAGCAAAGCAGCATTTGCTGCTTGCATGGAAAAAGTTAGGTGCGGTAATTGAAGGTGCCCAGTCAGATCTGCATGAAACGTCGGGAACTTCCAAAAAAACCACCCTCTACTGGCGAAGACCTTGATGCTCTCCTCAAGGAACCGGAAGGCGGCCACCGAGC